TCTGGAGCCTGCCCTTCTCATGGAGTGCCTGCTAACCACCACTGGAGTTCTCTCCAGCAACCCACCACTCCCCGTCCCCTGCCCACAGTCCGAGATCGACTCACATGGACGCGAGGGGGCGCTGAGACCTCACGTCCACACGAGGGGAGTTACAGTGCGTCGAGATGGTGTGGCCACCAGGGGGCGCTGTTATTGAGCCTCCTGTTCAAGACGTTAGGAATACAACGATACTCCAGGTAGGCGAGGAGCCAATATCCTGAAGGTGGCAGCGTGTACACAGACAATAAGATAAACCAGTAGATCATTTCAGGATGTAATAAATTCTATGGAGGAAACAAATTAGGTGACAGGGTAGTGACTGAGTGTACTCTTTAGATAAACTGCTCAAGGACACAGCTCTGAGGTTCCATCTCAATGAGGGTTGGATGACGGAGTCTGAAAGGAGGGCCCAGGCGGTGGGAGCACTACGATCCCTGAAGGGGAAGAGGCAGGTGTGTGGATGGAAAAGAGCTGGCTGGGGCAGGAGCAGGCAGGGGAGGGAGGAAGGCAGCCGGTGACAGGGCCAGAGCGTGTGTGTGTGTGTGTGTGTGTGTGTGTGTGTGTGTGTGTAACTTTTACTCTAAGAGCCAAGGAAGGGCTCTGGAAGGATGTGATCTGTGAGGTCTTCAAGTGAGTTGTTAAATGAAAACAGCAAGGGGGTGGGGTGCTGGCCTGTGGCCTAATGGTTAGGGTAGCCGAATCCCACATGGCCTACCGAGCAGTTCGAATCCTGGTCCCAGCAGCTTGGAAAACATGCCAGACGCATGTGTGTGCATGTCCAGTATCCCTGCTGGGGTGGTAAAATGGAGAAGATTGCAGTGTGACCATGCCCCATTGGGGTGCTTTCTGTTTGTCTCTCTGATGAGTGCATATGCTCTCTGACAATAAAAATCAAAGAGAGGTGTCAGGGGGACCACAGGTGGCATGGTGATTAAGGCGCTGGACACTCTCACATGGCCAACCACTGTTCGAGTCCCGGACCTGGTGGCTTTCTCTGTGTGTGTGTCTGTGTGTATCCCTCTCTGGTAAAATTTAAATAAATTAATGAGTAAATAAAATTAAATAATTTTTTTTTAAAAAGAGGTTCCAGCAGATGGCATAGCAATTATGTCATTGGAGTCCCACATGGCTATGGTTCAAGTCCCAGATCCAATGACTTGAAACTCACACTGAGTGCGTGTGCCCAAGATCCTAAAAGGAGAATAGAGAAAAAGGGATTGTGACGTGGCCATCCCCTCTGGAGAGTGATTTCTCACTTTCCCTGTCTGTCTCCCTCTCTCTGTCTCTGTCCAGCTAGCACATGTGCCATAAGGCAAAAACTTCTAAAATAAATAAATAGCAGTAAGGGATACAGGACCAGCAGATGGCATAGTGGTTACATTGCTCGACTCTCAGGTAGTCCACCGTGGTTCAAGTCTTGGAACTGGAGGCTCAAACTCATGCCAGGTACATGTGTGTGCGTGCCCAAGGCCCCAAAGGGAGAATGGAGGAGAAGGGAGTGTGGCATGGCCATCCCCCGGGAAGGTGATTTCTCACTTTTTGTCTCTCTGTCTCTGTCTCTCCAGCCAGTGCACATGCCCTAGAGCAAATATGGCTCAAAAAAAAACCAAAGAAAAGTAAGGGGTACAGCGAGGTGGGCAATGGCGGCCTTGTGGACAAAATGGGGGTGAGAACGCAGGTCCACACTGTTTTGTATTTGTAAAAAGAAATACGGGGACAATACCAAGAAATCGATTTTAAAACTGGTAGCCTTTGGAGGAAAGAGGAAGAGGGAACGGGGAGGGCGGAGACTGGGACGGGAGTGAGGCAAAGCATCGTCCGCTATGAGTGAGAAACAGACCACAGGCTGTGGGAGGCAGCGCCGGCAGGGCCGGAGTGTGACCACAGTGGAGGGTGGCGGGTCAGCTCCGCTGTGTCCTTGGGGACTTTTCCATCTCAGAGGGGCTATGATTCAGTGCGCCCAAGGGCCACTTGCTGGCCAGTAGTGCCATGGGGGGGCTAATGGTCGACCCCTCCCCCCAGAATGATAAGGTCCATAAGGGTACCCGTTCTGTGCCTGGCCTTAGCCCACGCTCTGCGGTTAACCCTCGCAGTAACCCTAGAAGGCAGCTCCTATTATGACCGTCTTCCTTTAGCAGATGTGGGCGCTGAGACAGAGGTTAAGTGACTCACTTCAGAACACACAACTAGGAAATCGGAAAGAGGCCCTTTGAGTGCAGGCGGTAATTCCAGAGTCCAGGCTGACCCTCCGTACGGTGCTTCCCAGTCCTTTCGCTGTGTCCTTGTCCTCTGCACTATCTTGGAGGGCTAAGAGCAGTCACTAGCACCATAGTATGAATCAGTCCACCTCTTCCCACCATTGAAGACTAACAATCATTGCTATGGTTTATGGGGCACTGCAAGGCAGGGGTTAAATAGTTGGGCTCTGCGGGTGTGGTGCCTGAGATTGAAGCCCAGGGTCATTTTTTTCTAGCTGCGTGACTTTGGACAAAGCCCATCATTCATCTGGGCCTCAGTTTCCTCATCTACAAAGTCCCCACTTTTTGGATGAGGACATTGAAAGGCACAGCCAGAACTCAGAATGTGGGTTTTGAGCACACACTGCCTCCACAAAGATGAGGAACCAAAACTAGGTTCTGTGAGGGGGAAGCAGAAAGCGCTCCTTAGGCCCGAGTAGGGTAGACAGGAACGTGAACCCTGGGCCGGGGTGGCAGGAGCGAGCCATTCCTTCTCCACACTCAGTCCCCGGACCGTGATGTGAAGGGAGGGGGCGCTGGGCCACTGAGGTCTTTCTGCTTAGGGACAGCAAAGCCATCTGACGGGTACACAGGCCAGGACGCACCGGGATGTTCCTCTCCTTCAGGAAAATCTTTTCCTGCCAGCCTGGCAGTTGGACGCCCTGGGATGGGTGCCCGATCCTGCAGGGGTGCTGGGTGACACAGGGTGGGGGTGGGTGGCCAGCACTGGCCCCACCGCAGCCCACCCCATCCCGACTGTACACAGCCGGCACGCCCCTCCAGCCAGCCAGACCTGAAGTGTGTTGTTGAAATACTTCCGCGGTTTTCAGTAAACGACCTCGACCCACTCTCATCCCTCCCCAGAACTTCCAGGCCTCCCCAGCTGGCTCAGTAGGGGGCTACCCTGACCTGGTTCTGGGGGACCTGGCCCATCCTGATTGGTGGATGGCCTCACCAATATTTGGTATTTTCCCTGGCTCAGCCCCCATGTCGGTCCCTCCACTCACAAGTTTCTCACGTCAGGTAACTCTTAGGCCCTTCGAAGCCCTGCCTTGGGGCCAGATGGTGACAGTGATAAATCACTGGATCCACTTGAGAAGGTCCTCAGTTCGAGTCCTGAGGCCTCCCTCACAGGCACCCGTGATCCAGGCTGGCCTGAGCTGGGGGATGGCAGCATGAGCACCCTGCTGGGGGCCTTCTCTGCCTTTACTCTATTTTTTAATGAAAAAATTAAACTTAAAAAAAAAGTCCTGCCTTAAAGTCTCTTTCTTCAGGAAGCCCTTCCAGATTTCTTCTCCACCCCAGGACCCAAGAGTGAAAGGCTCCCCCCACACCCGGCCCCAGGGGCTTCCACGTATCGGGGGCCACTAAGCACACCTTGCTCCAATCCTCAGCCCCCAGGCTCTTGGGACCAACAGTGGGCAATGCCAGCCACCATCTTCTTCATCTTCGTGGCCTCAGTACCAACAGCCAGGCGGAGCCCGCGACTGCCCCACCGCCCCACTCCGCCCCAAGGAGTGGATCTCTGTGTGGCCACCTGCGAGGAGGTGCTGCAGGCCACGCTGGGGGGCAGCATCCCGGCCCTGCGATTCGGCTGCCATGCCCCAGGAGCCTGCCCAGCAGACGGGGGTGGGGACAGGATGTGAGTCCCCAGGGCACGGTTCCCATGCTCTCTGCGCGGAGGAGTGACTCTCCATCTGGCAGGCCAGCCGTGGTGCTGGGGCGGAGGAGATTCCGCAAGAGAGAGGGAGACTGGGGTGGGGGTGTGGGGGCTCAGGGAAGGCCCCGGGAACCAGGGACAGGAAGGAGAGCCATGCAGCGTTACTGTTCCAGAACCATTAAATATAACTTAGAAACATGCAGGGGGGCGAGTGGGGGCCGTCAGGGGGGCGCAGTCCGGGCCCGGTCCTGGAGGGGGCTCCGGCTGTCGTCGG